CCCCCCCCCCCCCAATTCTGTACACTGAATGCTGAGGCAGCCCTAGTTGAAAAAATGGTTTGGGGCTTTCTAGCTTTTATTTGGCATGACCTGTTCCTCGTTTTGCTTTCTGAGCTCACCTGAGTGGCTGCTGTGAGAATTGTCCATCTCTGTCCAGCATCAGGGGAGGGGCAAAGCTTGGCTGGTTCTTCTGGACAGCTGAAGGAGGATTTGTCCCTGGAATGGTTAGGAACTTGCCCAGCAAGGGCTTTGGTGATTGCCAACATCCGAAGGTGCGATGTGTATTGTTTAGCTGAGGTCCAATATCTTGTTGAGCTCCTCAGCGACCACTGCTCCCTAGCTTATGTGGAGAGGCTGCGTCAGCCATGAATAAAAAGAGGATGTTGTTTTATGGAAGGCAACCAGACAATGGAGGACTTGGGGCTGCGAGGTCAGTAGTTCTAAGCAGCTTTCTTTTCTTCTCTTGGAAGGAAATAAGCCGTCTCGCTGCTCAGATCCGGCGGCTCTACGGGTCAAACAAAAAAGCCCCGAACCCATTTTGGCTCTATCTCACTGGATTTGTGAAAAACAGCCCCATTTATGAAGCGTGTGTAAGGATGAATGATGGATTTGCCAACTATCTTGTAAGTATCTTCCTCCAAATAGTCAAGTTTTGATGTGATAGCACAGGCATTACTTGTGTTCCTCTATATAAGTTAAAACTATAAAATGTGTACAGTATCATCATCTTTGGCCATCATATGATGATTCCTCCTCTTAATAACAGATAGTGTGGTGGCAGTCTGACTGATTATTTTGTACCACATGTCTTAGGCAGGATACCAGAGTAAGTGTTGTTTCTGAGGAAGACTCACTGAACATTTATAAATGAAATTGCTACCTTCTTGTGTCAGCTTAAAGTCTCCCATCTTCTTTCACTCTTACAAAATTAAAATTATATTTCTATAAATCATTTTGAAAAAATCTCTGTAATAAACCATCAAAAACCCAATCGCCAAAAAAAAATAATGTGTTGTAGCCCTTTGGCCAGTTACATGCTGCCTGTTAATCGGTTACAGAAAAATTGAAGTGTTTTGTGACATCTTAATAGGTTAACTATTTGGCAGAAGCTTTCGTGACTGTAGCCCATGCAAACTTATGCCAAAGAAAACGTCCCGGTCGATAAAGTGCAGTAAAGATATTGCTTTAGTTTGCAGAAAAGATAATTAAGAGGTACTACAAAGCTGTTGTAATATAGTGAAAGGGATGCTGTTGGTCTTCATTGCTCCGGAATCTCATGAGAAGAGAAGACTCCTTGGAAAAGACCTTGATGTTAGGAAAGTGTGACGTCAAGAGGAGAAGGGGACGGCAGAGGATGAGATGGCTGGACAGTGTCTGCGAAGCAACCAACATGAATTTGACACAACTACGTGAGGCAGTGGAAGGTAGGAGGGCCTGGCGTGCTCTGGTCCATGGGGTCACAAAGATTCAGACACGACTAAACCACTAAACGACAACAAAACTGTTGTACTATAGTGAAAGGGATGCTATTGGTCTTCATTGCTCCAGAGAGCAGGATGCAAACCATGTGGTCCTAATTCTTCCTGTGCTGCTAAGAGGTGGTGTTTCGTTGTTGCTGTTTTGCCTGTGGACATGGTCGCTCGAAACAATAGTGCCCTTTTGCATCTGGGAGTTCAGCTGAATGTGAAGAATAGCTTCCTGATCATCCTATGAGTTGTGTGATTGTGGCAAAGAGTGCCTTCCAGAATAGGAGACTTTGGTAGACGTTTTCTAAGCTGAGGCTGGTTGGATACCTATACCTAGCCCAAGACCGTTTGTTTGCTGCCTGAAGTGGAACAGCAAACGGTGCCTTCCTTGCCTCCTGCTGTACCCGAGTCCGAGTCCCCAAAGACAGCCACACTGTTTTTCAGCATGAGGCAGAAAAATAGCACTTGCACCTCTCCTCCTCCCTAGGAGGGAAGAAAATATTAAAATGAAAAAGGAGGTAGTCAACCGCTTCCTCTTGTGACACCTGAGATCCTTGAAGCAGTCACCTCAGTATGCCTAGTGGTAGAGCTGGCCGTGCCCCTTACCAGGGATGCTGTTGCAGCAGATTTCAGTGCTTCAGCTGGGAGTGGATTGATTAGATGATTAGAGATCCCAACCAACTCTGGGATGCTGGCTGCCTGAAGTGGGACAGCAAATGGTGCCTCCTTGCCTCCTGTACCCGAGTCAGAGTCCCCAAAGACAGCCACGCTTTTTTCAGCATGAGGCAGAAAGATAGTACTTGCACCTCTCCTGCTCCCTAGGAGGGAAGAAAATATTAAGAAAATAACCAACTCTGGGATGCTCCTTAATGATGTATGCATGAAATGATATTATCTTTACTTTGGACTCAGTGTATAGCAATGTTGCCAAAACAAAGGGTAACCCTGTCTGCGAAACAAGATCTATGACAAAAAGAGTTTGACGATTAATCTTTATCATAGAAATTAAAATTATTGTTAGAAAGGGATGCTCCTTAATGATGTATGCATGAAATGATATTATCTTTACTTTGAACTCAGTGTATAGGAACGTTGCCAAAAAAAAAAAAGATAGAGAGAGAAAAGGTCACCCTGTTTGAGAAACAAGATCTGTAATGAAAATAGTTTGATGATTAATCTTTATCATAGAAATTAAAATTATTGTTAGAAAATCTTGCTAGGTCATCCATCCTGTCCAGCGTCCTGTTTCTAGCTTTGGCTAGACTGATCTCAATACTCTTGAACTTCAATTGGGCTGGAAGCTCTTTTGTTTCAAAAATGGTCTGCCAACGTCTTGAGTAAAAATCTGTAATGAAAATAGTTTGATGATTAATCTTTATCATAGAAATTAAAATTATTGTTAGAAAATCTTGCTAGGTCATCCATCCTGTCCAGCTTCCTGTTTCTAGCTTTGGCCAGCCTGATCTCAATACTCTTGAACGTCAATTGGGCTGGGTTTCAAAAATGGCCTGCCAACGTCTTGAGTAAAGCTGGTGATAGATTATGGTCAGATATGTCTTCTCTAGAACTTAGAACAGTTACTTATTTTGGCCATAACACCTAGAACTCCCCATCCATTGTGGCTGGAGGCTATGCTGGCTAGAGGATTCAGGGAACTGTAGCCCCCAATAGTATCCTTTCCATACACTGCTCCTTTCCAACATGTATAGTTCATACTGCCCATGTGCCTCTTTTCAATGATCTGTCAAGTTCCATGCATGTATAACACATTATTTTTCAGATGGATGTTACCCCAGAAAGTTATCTAGACCTGTTTCCTTTAGAAACAATTGTTTACCTCACTCCGGACGCTGAGAATGGTATGTCCTAGCTTTGGTGTGGAGGATTCCCTTTTGAGCTTTTGCTTGATTTAAATGATTAATAACTGGCCTAGGGATCTAGAATTTCAAGTGTGTGGCTTATATTCTGATCTTGAACCACTTGCATTCATGTCAGGCTTTGGCTTCATTATGAACCATTGGCAGTGTGCCCTATTTCGTATTGTTGTGCTAGAAAAATAGTCTGCAGATCTCATTCTAAGCAGCATCTCTGCAGACTTGGGAGGAGGTGGGGCCAGTTTTATCAAGATGTGAAATTTTGTGTGTATAGAGTGCTAAAAAAATCAAGGGGGTGTAGAAGCAGCAGCCCTGAAAATAAAAGTGTTTTTACTATTGAGGCTTGAACAAAAGTTTAGTATAATCATTGCAAGACAATAAGTCAGCCCAGCATCTGAATAATGTCACTGTACTATAATATCCTGACAGCAGAACATGTTTATATTGCAATATATAAATACGGAGATAGTGTTTACAGGTCCTATGGCTTGCATTCTTTGTTGTTCCAATTTCTTGGGAGCTACAGTATTCTGGCTTTTCAAGATCCTGTGCAATAAGCCTTTAGTCCTCCAAGCTTTACAGAATTTTAACCAAAGCAATTGGTCATGGGGGCAGCTTGCCAGATTTTAAGTTATAAAATCCTGGGTTTATAAACTCAGTAGGAATAATTGATTCCTATTGGGGAAAAAATTCACTCCAGGCCTCTGGAAAAGAGTTTGTTTACATTTTGGGGGGAGCTGTGAATATCTGAAATAATTATCTTTTGGCACTCCAAAATGGAAAATTCAACTGGAAAGAAAAAAATAAATTATGTGCAGACATTAGCAACTTAAAACACTTGAAAGATTCAAAACTTAAAAATAAAAAAGTAAAAGCCAGACTATGCAAAATATATGACCTAGAAAGGAAAACAA